AGCACTTTTCATACATAGGAGTAGCACAAAGTGCTTTACAGAATGATAAAATAAGAATAAATAAAAATAAAAACCCCTCCCTCCCACGCCCACACACAGATACACGATCACTTACACACACATGCACACCCACCCACCCACCCACCCACCCACAAACATACACACACAGGACAGTGCTTGGTTGTTTTGCATTTCGTCATTTCGTCATGGCTTTGTACCGAGGGTCCCGGTGAGGAAGAACGCAATATTTCAATATTTATTTTTGAAATAAATAAATAATGATTGTGCAGTTAATTAGCTTTTGCTAGTAATATAAGTGAAGCTATTGAGCAAATAAAAATGTTTATATTGGCAAAACTAAGAATAAATAGTATTACCAAATAAAAAATAATTGAACAAATAAAAATATTTATATTGGCAAAACAAAGAATAAAAAGTAGTGACAAATAAAAAGTAATCAAGCAAATAAAAATGTTTATATTGACTAAACAAAGAATAAATAGTGACCATTCACTGAACAGCGTAAATGTAATTGATACAATAATGAAATGTCATATGACAATGACCTAGCAAATCGTTGACACAATTAAAAAATCTTACTGCAAAAGGTTGCCTTAAAATTTTAGGTTTTTTAATTATTCTTTTTTTTACAGTGTAGCTTTTAATTTTCAACTAAGTTTAAACTTGTTTTATTAACTTTTTATTGGTTTAAATTGCATCTTTCATTGAATTTTAACATCTTCAGGTCCTTACACACCAGGAACGACACAAATATACGACATGAAATTACGATATATTCAGAGACGAATTTGACGCGCATGACTATACACATCAAGCGCGATGTCGTTGTGACTCTCCAGGGGGAAAAAGACGCGTCCCGGGTGGAAGCGAGAAGACTGACACAACACCAGACTGACTGTTTTTCAGTTCTGATAAGACACTAGTGTTGAGATGGCTGTCTGTCATGATAGCATGTACTGAGTTGGGGCCAGTACCAGATAAGCACATTAAACCATAATCCATAAACATAAGGTAACGACCAAGACCTAATGGTGCTGTGACAGCAACACGATTGAGTTTGAGATAGTGAAAATACATATGGTATGTTGTATCTGAACAGGTTAGCTTACGAGCTAAAGTTACTTAGCACAGATGAAAGTTAAGATGTTTAGCAGACTGTTAAAGCAACTACACACCCACCTAACCCAGAACTCCCTCTACGACCCCTTCCAATCTGGTTTTCGCCCCCGCCACAGCACCGAAACCGCACTGCTAAAAATCACCAATGACCTTCTCACTGCAGCTGACTCCGGTTCACTTTCCATCCTCATCCTCCTCGACCTCAGTGCAGCCCTTGACACCATCTCCCATCCCATCCTCCTCCGTAGACTCTCCTCCATCGGCATCACCCACACTCCCCTCCGCTGGTTCCACTCTTACCTCTCAGACCGCACACAGTTCATACAGCTCAAATCCTTCAATTCCGACCCCTCCCCAGTCAGCTCAGGTGTGCCCCAGGGCTCTGTCCTGGGGCCCCTGCTGTTCATCACCTACCTCCTCCCCCTTGGTTCCATCTTCCATAAATTCAACATTCAATATCACTGCTACGCGGACGACACCCAGCTCTACCTCTCCAGCTCACCAAACTCCACCCTCCCACCCACCTCCCTCATCACCTGCCTATCCGAAATTAAAGCCTGGTTCACCGCCAATTTTCTCCAACTTAACAGTCAGAAAACAGAAATTCTTCTAGTAGGTTCAAAATTCACCCTATCCAAAGTTGACAGTCTCTCCCTTCCCATCGACAGTTCCTCAGTTTCCCCCTCACCTCAGGTCAAGAGTCTGGGTGTCGTCCTTGACAGTACTCTTTCTTTCAAATCACACATCAGCCATACCACTCGGACTGCCTACTTCCACCTCCGCCACATCAATCGGCTCCGTCCCTCCCTCTCCCCCAACTCCACCTCCAACCTCGTCCACAGTCTCGTCACCTCCCGTCTGGACTATTGTAACTCCCTCCTCTTCGGTCTCCCTCACACGTCTCTCCATAAACTTCAACTGGTCCACAACTCCGCTGCCCGGATAATCACCAAAACCCCTTCGTCCCACCACATCACCCCCATCCTACAGCAACTCCACTGGCTCCCGGTCCCACTTAGAATCCAGTTCAAAATCCTCCTGTATACCTTTAAAGCCATCCACAACCTCGCCCCTCCTAACCTGTCTGACCTCCTCCACATCGCCACTCCATCACGCCGCCTCCGATCCTCTTCCTCTCTCCACCTCACTGTGCCCCCTGTTCACCTCAGCACCATGGGGGGCAGAGCTTTCAATCGCTCTGCCCCCCGACTCTGGAACTCTTTACCATCACACATCCGCAACATAGACTCCCTCCCACTCTTCAAGTCCAAACTCAAGACACACCTGTTTAAACTGGCCTATCCCTCCCACCACCCCTAACTCACTTTTTTAAAATTAAATTTCAATTGCTATTATTCATTTCTTTATTTATTCCTTTGCTGTTGTTCATGTTTTAATGTTGCTTTGTTGATTTTAACTGTTTTGATGATTGATGATTTTAATTGTTAATAGTGTTTTATTATTGTTTTATATGTTCTGTAAAGTGTCCTTGAGTGACGTGAAAGGCGCTTCAAATAAAATGTATTATTATTATTATTATTATTATTATTATTAAGTTGTCCTTCGGGTCGTTATCTTTGTAATATTTGTGTTTTTTATCAAAAAGCACTCTGTTCTCTGACATGTAAACAATCAGCCAGTCGGCCATGTTGGATATACAGCTGAACCTGATGTTGCAACAACACGAAATCTGATTGGTCAGAAGTAGACCCACAGTATGCAAACTTTAGAAAATTTGACCATAATACGAAAAAATAAATGTTGCAATATCGCAGGATGGGACCTTTCCTTTTGGCAGTAATATAGATGTCTTCTATCACTATCACTATCACTATTTCTATTTTTTGAATTTTATTTCTGTTTTTATATACAGTAGTACTTCCTAACCTCGTTTCAAAAGAACTATACAAACAAAGTATAATTAGAAAAACAAGTTAGCTCCATCGGAATGTGATTTCAGTTGTAGTTACAGATTTTTTTTACAACTTCTCAATAAATGTGATGGTACCACTTAAAGACGAAAGTAAAGTTTATTTGGTATGGCAGTTTTACAAATTAAAAGAAATAGGGCTGTTTTTCAGATCGGCTTTTCATTATTTTGTGTTATTTAGTAAACTGTCTTTTAAAAGCATAAGTATTAAAATAAGTGGTTATATGCACAAGGGAACTCTTTCCATGGGCCAAAGGCTCAAATTCAAAGGCAATGCAAATTTGTTTGTGGTCAGACCAGGCAAAAAACCTGGGAAATCTGCAGAGGAATGAAGCCATGATCAAGTCAGAGATACACAGGAGATTGATCATACAGATTTCCAAAGCAAAAAATGCCAACTCTAATGCCAAGGCCAGAATACAAAATGTCAGTCACCACAACAGTCATTGTATCAGAGTAGGTGATCACAGAGTCAACAAGTCATGCTATGAATTGACCAAAAGGAGGGAAGGCAGGGAGGCTGGGCTAGGTGACACCTGGACAGGCTGAAGGCAGTCTGCTCTTTATGAGCAGAGTCATCAAAGTCACAGAGGTTGATTGATGTTGAAAACCTGCATTTTGTGATTGTGCTTACACATGCATGTTCGCACCCCACAAAAAAAAACCTGCTCTGAAATGATCAGCTCAATTCTGTGGATGTCAACAGAGTCACTCCTTTAGCTCTTTCAGAGTCTGATTTCCTGATGTGGCCATTTCACATTAAAGGCACTTCAACAACATAACGAAAAGGGACTTTTAACGTGAAGAATGTGTTGTAAATGTTGTGTGCTTATTTGCAATTCACTTGAGTCTAAACCGAAGTTTAGTGCTGTTTTCGTTGACTCTTTAGTGACTCAAAGCCAGCTACTACTTTTTGCTACTCTTTACTGGTTCATGTGCTTCCAGCAAATCGAAGCAGCCAACCTCCTGTGACGAGTTGTGGTTCTGAACCCAAAAGCAGCCAGACAGGGATAAGGTTTAACAGGTTTTATTGTGCTTCCCTCCCCCACCTGTGCAGAAACCAAGGTAGTCCGAAGTCCAGAGTAAACCAAAGAGTTCGAGAGAGTGTTGGTCTGTGAACTGGTGTGTGTGTTACAGAGGGAGACACTGGGAAAGACAGAAAACAGGAGGATTAGAGCCCAGGTAAATTTCACCATTAATCTTCGAAAATATATACTTATTCGTCAAGATGAAGCCGTGTACCACTGCATGGAGGCGATAATATTTAGGCACTGAGGGGGGGAAGAGGAGCAGCCTCTGGGGAAAGGTAAGCAGCCACACACACAGCACAAACACAAAACGAGACTCCGGAAATAATTCACCAAAATAAAACACTAAGCCCATGCTCACCACAGAACCCCCCTCCCCCATTGACAGATGCCTCCTGGCATCCTACCAGGCTTGTTCGGGTGCATAGAAATCCCTCAGCAGTGAGTCATCTAAGATAAGCTTCTGGGAAATCCATGAGCGCTCTTCAGGTCCATAGCCTTCCCAGTCAACCAGGTATTGAAATCTGCGGCCACACATCAAGGATCCTGGAAACTGAGAAGACAGCCGAAACAGCACATAAAAGGAGACATACCTGTGGCTGAACTGGTGAGGGAGTTGTGCGCGTGCTTGATCCAAGGGAGGTGGGAGCTCCAGGAGACCGGGTGGTGAGCCGCAACACACCACAGGGCTGACTCCAAACTCTGGTTTCCTCGCTCTGTCTGGCCGTTTGTCAGGGGATGGTATCCAGAGGAGAGGCTGGCTGTTGTGCCTACTGCCTTACAGAAGTCCCACCAAACTTGGGATGTAAACTTTGGACCTCTGTCTGAAACAATGACACTGGGGAGTCCATGGAGTCTGAAAACATGCTTGATAAGCAGTTCAGTGGTCTCAAGAGCGGAGGGAAACTTGGGTAATGGCACGTTGTGAACACACCTAGAGAATCTGTCTATGATGGTAAGTATTACAGTGTTACCTTCAGATCGCAGGACACCAGTGACAAAATCCAGCACAATATGGGACCAAGGGCGGAAAGGTATGGGCAGTGGACACAACAGACCAGCTGGGGGCTGATGGGATGACTTGCCCCGAGCAAACGGGACAGGCCACCACAAAAGCCTGAACATAGAGAGTCCCGCGCCACCAGAGTCTCTGCTGGAGAAAGAGGAGTGTTCTGTGCATACCTGGATGGCAGGTGAGTCTGGACGAGTGTCCCCACTGTAACACCTGGAATCAGGCGGCCTCCGGGACGAACCTCTTGGTTAAGGGTCCAGTCTTGGGGTCAAGTTGGGTCTTCAGCACCTCTTCTATGCCCGCCTTGATGTCCCAGGAGGCTGATCCGATGACACAGGCAGGAGGGAGGATCTAGTCCAGCTCACTGGGGTCTGAAGAGGAGCTGAAGACTCGGGAGAGGGCGTCTGGCTTAGCATTGCAGGAACCAAGAATAGGAGAGGGTGAAGTTAAACCTGCTCAGGAAAAGCGCCCGGCGTGCTTGACAGGAGTTGAGTCGCCGAGCAGAATGCAGGTAAGAGAGATTCTTGTGGTCGGTCCAGATTAGGAATGGATGCTGGGCTCCCTCCAGCCAGTGCCTCCACCCCTGAAGTGCTCACACTACAACCAGCGACTCTCTATTACCTATGTCGTAATTCTTTTCTGCTGGAGACAGACGATGGGAAAAGAAGGTGCATGGATGTAGCTTCTGGGTTCCCAGATCCCTCTGAGACAAAACTGCTCCAGCTCCAGAGTCCGAGGCGTCCACCTCGACAATAAACTGCAAGGAGGTATCAGGATGTTTCAACACTGGGGCAGAGGTAAATAGAGTCTTTAGTTTGGCGAACGTGGAGGCAGCTTTAGGAGACCAACGGTAGGGGATGTTAATGGACGTGAGCTTAGTGAGGGGGGCAGCAACCTTGCTGAAATCCCAGATGTATCACCAGTAGAAGTTGGCGAAGCCAAGGAATCTCTGGAGATCTTTGCGGAAGGAGGGGACTGGTCAGTCTCAGACGGCCTGTATCTTCGCCAGGTCTGGCTGGAGTTCTCCTTGGGCAATGATGTACCCAAGGAAACTTCTGGAGGAGACGTGAAAGTCACATTTTTCTGGCTTCACAAGGGCAGGTCTCCAGCAGTCTCTGAAGAACCAGGCAGACATGCTGTTTGTGCTCTTCCAGGCTGCGGGATAAGATGAGGATATGGTCCAAGTAAACAAAGACAAACCCGTTAAGCATATCATGGAGAACATCATTTATGAGGGCTTGGAAGACGGCCGGAGCGTTAGTGAGTCCAAACAGCATCACCAAATACTTGAAGTGGCTGAGAGGAGTATTAAACGCTGTCTTCCATTCATCACCTTTCTTTATCCGAATCAGGTGATAAACATTCCGAAGGTGTAGCTTGGAAAAGATCCTGGCGCTGCACAGGGGCTCAAACGGGGAATAATGAGAGGCAAGGGATACTTGTTTTAACTGTGATATCATTGAGACCTGTGTAATCTATACAGGAAAGAAGAGATGAGTATTTGGGGGGAGGAAGAGGGCCAGCTGAGACCTGAGGCTAAGGAGTCCTGAATATATGTCTTCATCACTTCCCTCCCCTAGGGGACAGGTTGTAGAGTCTGCTACTGGGAAGGGGAGCGCCGGGGAGGAGGTCGATGGCACAGTCATAAGGCTGATGTGGATGGAGGGAAAATGCCAGCTCCTTACTAAAGATGGTGGCGAGGTCATGATAGTCAGGGGGAACAGCAGAGAGAGATGGTTGGTCTGGTGCTGCCCTCTCACAGTTGTAGAAGGAATTGGCGGAGCGAAGGCAGTGTAAGTGGCAGTGAACACTCCAGCTGACGATGGTGGAGGTTTTCCAGTTGATGTGGGGTCTATAGAGTTGCAACCAGGGGAGTCCGAGTACTATGGGAGAGTGTGGTGAGGGGATGACGAACAGCTGGATGTCTTCTTGGTGGTTTGCGGAGATGATGAGGGTTAGAGGAGCAGTGCAATGGGTGATGGTGGCTATTAGAAGGCCGTCTAACGCTGCAACCCTCTTTGGAGAGGAAAGGGGCTCTAGGGGGAGACGAAGTTGATCAGCCAGGTCTTTTTGAATAAAGTTGTCGTCAGCACCGGAGTCAATGAGGGTTTGGAGAAGCAAAGAATCCTTCTCCCAGAGCAGACAGGAGGAAACAGAGATGCGTTTGGGAGAGCTGAGGGTTGTGGAGGTTTGGCTCACCAGGGTGCTCTCCTTCACTGGTGAGCTCAACTGATTAACTTCAGGGGACAGGAGGCGAGAAAATGGCCTGCTTGGCCACAGAAGATGCACAACTTCTGGGAAATTCTCCTTTGCCTTTCCTTGGGATGCAACTGCGTCTGCCCCAGCTGCTTGGGCTCCTCAGGTGATGTCACAGGCTGTTACACTAGGTTTGGAGATAGCCATCTGAACCTTTTACCTGCGTCTTTCTCTCAAGCGTTTGTCTATGCAGATAACTAAAGAAATCAAATCCTCCAATCAAGCGGGTTCATCTCAGGAGGCTAACTCATCTTTGAGCTGTTCAGAGAAGCTTCTAACAAAAATTCCCTTTAACTCTTGTTCCCCCCAACCACTTTCTGAGGCTGCTATACGGAACTCAATAGAAAAATCAGCAGCTGACTGAGAACCCCGGGAAAGAGAAAATAGGCATTTAGCCACCTCTTGACCCTGAACGGGGTGATGAAAAACTCGGTGGAGCTCCTCAGCGAAACTAGAAAAAGAACCTAGAACTGGGTACTGCTGGTCCCAAATGGCCGCAGCCCACCTCGTAGCTTTGCCTCTTAATAAATTAATTATGTACGCTATTTTGAAGCAGTTAGAAGGGTAACTAAGAGGCTACTGGTCAAAAACTAAAGAACGCCGTAACAAAAAAAACCTTGCAGCTTCCTATCTCCCCAGTGTAGGGCTCTGGATGAGGAACATAGGGCTCCTTGAGGGCAGGGGAGATCAATCAATCAATCAATCAAATTTTATTTATATAGCGCCAATTCACAACAGTCGTCATCTCAAGACGCTTTTCAAAGAACAAGAGCAGGTCTAGACCACGCTCATAGTTTGATGATCAAGAACCAACCTAAGATGGGTTTTGGCCCATCTCAACTAACATGAGTAGCAGTGGCAAGGAAAAACTTCCTTTTAACAGTAGAGGGAGATGGACTGGGAGCCATACTCACAGTGGGAGTGAATCCGGAGGACTGGGTTGGGAGCCAGTAGATGAGCCGAAAGGTAAGTGGCCTGTGTGCTGAGATTTTGTAATGAATCCATGAGTACCTGTAACGTGTTCTCTTGTCGTCCCAATAGGATTCCTTGCTGTGTTATTGCCCTTCTGAGGGGGTCTGGGTCCGCTGGATGCATGTTTGGCCCGAGTATTCTTTGACGAGTTGTGGTTCTGAACCCAAAAGCAGCCAGACAGGGATAAGGTTTAACAGGTTTTATTGTGCTTCCCTCCCCCACCTGTGCAGCCTTTGAGGAAAGGTAAGCAGCCATGCATACAGCACAAACAGGAAACGGGATTCCAGAAATTATTCACCAAAATAAAACAATAAGTCCATGCTCACCACACCTCCAATCGCATGTGAAGTGACCCACAGCAGAGTGGGGTAACCATAGACCTAATATACACAAATCATATACAGTAGCTCTATCAAAAGGAGCTATATGAAACTGATGGTGTGATGTGCGGGTAAAGAGTAAATACAGAGTGAGATTATTACTGTGCCTAGTAGGATAAGAATGTACATTATAAGTGAGAGTAAAACAAAATTGAAAAGTGACAGGGAGATCTTGGTTTCTGTAAATAAACCTGTGAATAAACAAACAAATTTGATAGTTATTCAGTTTGTGAATTGGTAGAAGAGAATACTTTGTAAATAGTGGTGTTGACGGAGCATATCTGTTTGAATGTAAAATGAATCTTGAGAAACCTCTTCTGAATAGTACATCATTTCTTGAGATGAGTAGGATATGTAGCTGCACAGACCATATATCGTAGTTTTTATTTCCCTATTTGAACTATTGTTATAAGGTAAATGACGTGATATAATGTTAATGATTCAATTGATTTGCTTGAACCGAGAGGTTGCTGCAAGTCTGGTCTCTATGTATTATCTGTAATTTTTGCAATTTTTAATAGATTTTTTTCATATTTTTGTTGTCATTTTGTTGGCAGCTGATGGATACTTCTGCTGGGTGACGAGTTAACTCAAGAGAAGAGCTCCTTTCATTGAGGAAAAGCAAAACTGGACAACAACATACAATTCCAGAGGACATCAGGCGGTATTATCATGGTTGCCGTGCTGGTGCAAAGGTGAAGGCAAGCTGAATGCTAGGAGGTGGCGATACAAACCCTTTCTTCCATCAATCATCATGGGAAACGTCAACTCTCTGCCCAACAAAAGTGATGAGCTGGGGATATTGGTGAAGATTGAGAAAGCATACCGTGAGTGCAGTTTCCTGTGTTTTACTGAAACCTGGTTGAATCAAAACAACTTGGACACCGGTGTGGATCGACCCGGCATTACTCTTATAAGGTCAGACAGAGATGCTCAAGCTAGTGGCAAGAAGAGAGGAGGAGGTCTGGCTTTGTTTGTCAACTAGAGATGGTGTAACCCCTCACACACAACTGTCAAGGAGAAGTTGTGTTGTCCAGATATTGAATTGTTGGCAGTTGCTCTTCGGCCATATTATGTTCCAAGAAAATTCAGTCATATCATAACAATAGTTGTTTACATCCCACCCAAATCAACTGCAGAAATTCCATGCGACCTTTTGTATATAAGTGTTTCCAGGCTACAGACTCAACACCCTGAGACACTAATAATAATATCAAGAGACTCTAACTATGTCACTCTCTCCTCTCACCTGACTGGATTCACATAGTTTGTGAACTGTCCTACTAGAGAAAACAAAACCCTGGATCTGCTGTATGTCAACATCAAAGAAGCCTACAGCAGGCATGAAAATGGGTCAGGGGTTGAAAAGGTGAGAAGAGTGATTGAAGATAATTATTAGTATAATAGTATAATAATCTCTTAAATACAACGGAGTATGAGGGCCACATTAAGACAAAAAAAAACGTTTTTAAATCTCAGACAATAAAGTTATTATTTAGGAGAATAAAGTCAATAATATATAAGAATAAAGTCGTAAAGTTACCTGTTGTGGAGGAGAGTTGCTAAAATCAGCACTGAGGAGCATTTAGATGAATTTTACTATAGTATAGGTTTCACAAACATGGAGATACTTAATCCTTTGGTACATGAGCATTACACTGTCAGAACTTGGAGAAAAAGAATATATGAGAAATGCTGCTTTTGTGGAGGGGAGAATAGCTGGAAATGGCTGTACAGAGGCTAAATTCATCAATACAGCTGTTAATAGCAATAGCATAGGGTTTTAGTTTATCATATGAGTTTATCTGCCATGAGGTGTTGAGGTCTCTGCATGTGTAGGTTACTGACTTACTGTAATCATCGGGTCTATCTTGTCCTTATAAAAACCTGCTCTATTTCGGGGAGTGTCTGTCTTCTTCTGTAGTCAAACCGCAAGATATCAAAATCTACCCGGATACAGCAATGCTGCTTTTTGATTGGCTGTTCAGTAGATATATACTTTATTTGATTGGCTTGCGCGTGGCACGCAGCTTCTGAACTCTCGGAGGAACTCAGTTGATTTCTACCTATTCCATTGTTACAGAGGTGCAACTTTGTGGACATCACCATGTACATATAAATGCGTGAGAAATACAATGTGTGGCGTGTGAGCGTGTGAACGGGTGGGAATGCGTGTGTCACACGCTGAATGCGTGAGACTTGAGAGCCCTGAAGAGCAGTAAACGCGAGACGCCCGCTTTCGCTATTTTAGATGGCTCAAAACTTGGATTATTTCGCCTTGTTGTGTACTTTCAACCGCGCTCCCGTCAGGGGGGAATTCTACGGCACAACACCGGCGTGTCCTGCTTCATGTTCTCGCAGCTTTGCAATGCTACCACAGGCTCTCCAAGCACTCCAAGCACACGTGAAGAGTGTGCGCATGATTGGAATAATGGCACGCAGTTTGGCCCATGATTGGTTCTCGTCAGCGAAGGAGCCAGGAGGATTTGCTGACCGTCCAAGTGTCATTTAAAGGGCCGATTTCTGAAGTGCTCAGTTTACGTATTGAGTCAATCACATGATAATAAAAGAAAAACAAAATCTCCCGACCCCCCCCCCCCCAAAAAAAAAAAGAAATTCTCCTCGGATCTACACGATTCATGTAGGTCACCCTTTTTGACTTCAAAACGGCGAATTTCGCCGAAAGGTGAGAGATTTTCATGCCTGCTACAGAGCCACTGCCCTAAAACCACTGGGCAATTCAGATTATAACTTGCAACTAAAGATGGACACCTCAAACAAGTGAAGCTGTGAGGGACTGTTTTAAACCATCAGACTGGACTGTGCTGCTGAAAACAGATGAAGACACTGGAAGAAATCATCAGAAGTTTTGTGTCTATTCAGAAAATATGTGTATATATTGTGTGTATGTATAAAGGCCTCTTTCATACTTTAAAGTATAATGTTAAATTTGTTGATGAAGTGGGAAAAAAATCATAATGGGAACTCATCAAATGTAATTATAAAAACACATGGTGCAGTAGTTCATGTTTCAATTATTTCCTCATTTTATATAGGCCCTTTCCAGGTATTTTTAACAGGGGCAGAGGGAAGAGGCGTTTTCCTGCAGTGAGCCCTGTTCCTGCCAAGAAACCCAAACCATTGATTCTGGCTTTCTATCTGTTGCAAAAACGATGCAAAAAAAACCCAGAAAGAGCAGGAACAAATAGTCCATCTGCAGGCGGGACTGGGCCGTAGGACTGCTCATCTGGACGAGAGCACAACACATGAAGAGGTAACAGCATGCAATTAATTATTGTTTATTATTTTATTTTTGCAGTGTTGTCTGATTTAAATGATGAATTTTGTCACTTTTTTGGAGAAGATTGCACTTCTATTCCTTCTCTGTATAGTTATGTGATGCCCTCAAAGTTTTATTCCCAAAATAGAGAACAGTAACTGGTAGGCGGCTGCTATACAAAGCATCAGGTGAGCCATCAAGTGGGTTAATGTTGTCATAAAAAAAAAAAAAGTACATAAGCAGCAGCAAACTTCACATAATGCATTGCAGAACCAAGCACCTGGACATTACCCCCTCCATCTGTAACTGGATCCTCGACTTCCTCACTAACAGGCCCCAGTCTGTTAGGATTGGCAACCTCACCTCCTCCACCCTAACCCTGAGCACTGGTGTCCCACAGGGCTGTGTGCTGAGCCCCCTCCTCTACTCCCTCTTCACCTACGATTGCACTCCATGGATGGCATGGCTCTAACACCATCATTAAGTTTGCAGACGACACAACAGTGGTGGGCCTCATCAAAGACAACGATGAGACAGCCTACAGGGAGGAGATCCAGCACCTGGCGTCGTGGTGTGCCGACAACAACCTGGCATTGAACACCAACAAGACTAAAGAGGTCATCGTGGACTTCAGGAGGACTAGGGCTGTCACTCACGCTCCTATTCACATCGACGGAGCAGGGGTCGAACGGGTGTCCAGCTTCAAATTCCTGGGCATACAGATCTCTGAGGACCTCTCCTGGACCCTCAACACCTCGTACCTGGTCAAGAAGGCCCATCAGCATCTCTTCTTTTTGAGGAGACTGAGGAAAGTCCATCTATCTCCTAAGATACTGGGGAACTTCTATCGCTGTGCCATTGAGAGCATCCTCACATACTGCATCACGGTCTGGTATGGAAACTGTACTGCCTCTGACCGAAAGGCACTGCAGAGGGTGGTGAAAACTGCCCAACGCATCACTGGAACATCTCTCCCTGCCATTAAGACCATCTATGACAGTTGGTGCCTGAGGAAGGCTCACAGCATCATTAAAGACCCCTCTCATCCCAACCATGGACTGTTCACCCTCCTCCCCTCTGGGAGAAGATACCGGAACCTCATTTCCAAGTCAAGCAGACTCAGGAACAGTTTTTTCCCCTCCACTGTCATCTCCCTAAACTCCTCATCCACTCCTCTCCCCCCTCCAGTAATAATGGACATGGAGGGTCTTCACAGCAGGTGAGGAGAAATTATTACGAAAGTCCTTAGAATGTCTCTCTCATTACTGGCTGAGAGAAAAGATCGATAGCATGAAAGGGATTTCGAAATGTTGCTTTCCACATATTTTTTAATCTTTATTGCCACAATAAAAAGAGCAGGGTGAGAAAGGAGACAGTGAAGCTGCTACCATTCTGCGAGGAATGTTGCCAGAAGTCAGGGGTCTCTTTGAACAAGTAGAAATATTTGTGCAGTTGCTTCTTACTGTGCCTGTCTCCTCAGCTGAGGCTGAAAGAAACTTCAGTGGTCTTCGGAGGTTAAAAACCTGGCTCCGAAGCACACTGACACAGTCTCGGCTCAACAGTGTTGCTGTGTGTCATTTCCTTAAAGATAAATTGGACAGAATCAATGGGAGACAAATTGCTCAGCAATTCATTGTGGCCAATGAGAGGCGCAGAAACACGTTTGGTTGCTTCACTTAGGTGAGAGGTACAGCTTCAAATATGTACATGTTGCTTGAGGCTCCCTTCCTTATGCCTGTTACAGATATATATAAATGAAAAAATGAATGAAATATACATGTCTAACATCACAGTTATGTAAATAAAGGTAAATAACTAAAGTCGTTTCCCTGGTGCTGTGCTGTGTGTGGTTGTGTGGTTCTTTAGCTGCTGAGGGGAGGTGCAATTGAATGCGAGAGGATATCACTCAATAGACCTCCGAACAATTTGTCCCCCTCACTTCTGAAATGATGGCTACACCTCGGGTTGGCAATAATGATGGCCTGGCTAATTTGGATACCAGCAACTCTGGAGAGAAAAAATGTATCAATCAGAATTATATATAATTTAGAATAATATAATAATATATTGTACAATATTAAAAAATTTAATGTATTTTGAAAGTAACGATTCTTATCTGTAACTTCATAACAGCAGATATGCAGGAATGTCCTGTCTGAATGTATTTCCCACTGACATCATTGAAGTACACGCCTCCTCATGTGTGGAAAGGTATTCATTTCCTTTTTATGGTTAATGTATATATATGTATAATGTGTATCTATATCTATCTATCGATCTATCAACAGTGATGTTTGTTTTACATGTTGGGCAGTTGTAACACAAAACATTTATGAGGTTAGGGCAGGAAACAAAGTGATGTTCGAAGGCACTGTAATCCAGGAAGAGCCAGCAGCAGCAGCAATGGGACCATCCAGGACTCCTGCAGCTGTTCCACATGGTAGGTTCTGTTTGGGCTAAGATGTTGCATTGTAAAGTTTTGAGAATACATAGTTATATTTGAATGTTTTTTGTTTTTTTTTTGTTTTTTTTTTCCCGATCATGACAGTCAAGCTTAAATAATGAAATAATCATGTTTTTTATTTTTCTCATTAGTCTGGTTGACTGTCAGTGACCCCACCAAGGCTTTTTATCAATGTGCTGACAGTTTTTTACATGCTCTTGAAATGGAGTGTCCCTTCCTTTCAGCATGGACATCAGAAAACCCCCTGCTGAGCAGGACATGGCACTTATTGCTTTATATAAGCAACATAATTTGGAATGGGGACGACCCCTGACATGCTCTTATTCTGGTTTATATTTCTATACTTTTTTATGCTTCTTTTTTACTGTGACCTTCACTAGATTTACCAGTCGTCACACTCTTCCTCTCATAGAGGTTGATTGTCGTGATTCTCACACTTACCATCATGGGCTCTGTTTTCGTTCCTGCCGGCAGGGCGTCAGATGGTGGCGCACCCCACGTAGTGGTATTTTTGTCTGCCAGAGCCCGGCGCATAGCCGGTTTGGTATTTTCGTAGACTGACGCATACCGAGGTGCGCCAAGCTGGGCATGGTGGGGCAGTAGGGGGAGGTGTGAACAGAATCAGCTGGCGCGGTGACATTTTCGTGCTGACCGCCAGCGTGGAAAGTGTGCTTAAAGCTCGCTGATTCAAACCTGGTCAACTTTAAGCGCAGGTGGAGCGCAGCTGGTCTAGTGATATTTTAGTAGACCGACGGCGTAACGTGCATACGTCACAGATGCCTCACCCGCAGGTTTCCGCAGTGTCAGGCACATTTCAGTGCAATAAATAATCAAAAACAACCAGTATTCAGTGCAACTATCTGACTCAGCACATAAATTTAGATCTATATCGATATATTCTGATCTGATCTGATAAGCGCATTTGGCACGCATTTGGACACTCAACCTGACCAAATTAACACAGCTGAAACTGCATGAAGTAAACAGTCGCATGATGAACTTAACAAGACATTTAATTTGTCCCCCCCTTTTTCTCCTTCTTCAACCAGACATGTCTCTGTGTTCCATCTCCATCCTGCGGCAAGGCTGAACAGTTGATTTATTTTAGTGATCAGAAATTTGAAAGTTGAAATTTGAACAAAAATAATAAAACAAACTTTTATTTAGAATTACCTGTGTATCTAATTTCTTCACATCCTTAAAATTCTGTGAGTATTGAATCCGGAGTCAGGCCCACATATGAATATCATAATATTCAGATGCGTGGGCCGAGTTCATTTCAGGCCTCAGAGAGCAATGCGTCCATTATGCACAGCTGGTTCAGATTTTAATGCCATTATTGGAATTTATGTTGTGATCTGTGCACACAGCCCATCTTATTTACGTGGGGTTTAAATATATGCAACTTGATGTGATTGTCTTTATTTTTGGAAAAGGGAGTTTGTCTTTCCAGTGGGAACCTTACACACACCAAATCCCTCTGTGCTTATGTGAGAGAGTGTGGAGCGCTTACAGTGACACTTGTTGAGGGGCTGCCTTCTGTGGCCATTGTGTGGCATTGCTGTCTTCAGCCATTTCTTGATCTCTTTGACTACTGCACAAAATTGTATTATGCCTCGTCAGCGGTGGATTCAAAGGTGAGGAGAGGCGCTGATGTGATTGGTGAAAACAGTTCTTGGCTGTGTTAAACCCACTCCACGCCTTCTCTCCTCCCTCTCTACTACTTATGCCGCTGGGAGGAGTTGAGTTAGCTGAGTTATTTTGCTCACCAAAATACCAAAGTGTGCTTGGCCACACCTTGTCAGCGCAGCAGACCTGACTTAAGCCGCACCTGCACCGCGTCGCCAGTGAGGCACGGAAATAGAGCCCCTTGACATGGTCCACAAGCAGACATGCATGGTCATCCATATGCCCTGCAACTGCAGTGTTGGGTTTGGCAGGCAGTTGTGCAATTACAGTGGATCATCTGCAGGAGGCTTTCTGGGGCAGTCTTACTGGTCATAACTGACAGGAACTGGTTGTCCACCAGTTTCCATCCCCAGTCCACTGTGTTCATGTCACCTTCCTTTGTGTGAAAAATGCGTGAAGGTCTATCACAACCTGTGATGACATGGATAAACAGCAACTGGGAACACAAGTCACTACCCAGAACTTGTTTCATCTTACTGATGTTGTACACTTTGGTAGCTATGGACTTGTCTGAACAAAAATAGAGGGCTCTATTGTTCATCCCAGCACGGTCGAGGAGAAGAATAACTAAGTCTGTAATTGGCTTTATCCATTGCTCAGTTTTCAGTTCTGGAAATGTATGCAAATTAGTGTCTAATTAGTTATTTAATTAGATATTGTCTCATTTACACATTCAAACATAACACTTGACAAAACTTGGGAAGTTTCATGGTGATCTCTGTAAGTTAAACATTTTACCCAGTTAACCTGGGGTGTCTCCCCGGGCTTCCTACCCATCATGGACGCTATCTTGAAAATGACACCTTTCTAGTGGTCAAACTTTGGTAAACTTTTAGTATGTTATTAAGGACATCTAATACTGTTAAAAACAGCTGAGAAACCTTTTGATAGAAATTTGGGGGGTTTAGGTTTTTTTTTTTTCTGTGTATGCTAGTTCTTGTGGTGAGGAGTTTTGGTTTAATGTGCCTTGCACACATGTTTTCTCTTGAAGATTCAGTTATTTAAATTCACAGCTGTTCTACAGTCTGTATGTGCATACCCTAATGCCTTGCCTTAGCTAAACTAATGTACAGGTGTATTATGACCCTCCTAAGGGTGGTAGGACACAACATGAAAGTGGACCAATTTCACCCACCTCTAAAACAGCTGCAGAAAAACTTTTAAAAAAAAGATAATTGTAGAACAAAGATAAGTAACAAAGGATCTAAAAAAAAAGGATCTAAATTCTCCACACGAATGTGATGGGGCTATTTGGGACATGGATGTCACGGGCTTCCCCCTGCACCATGGTGGCATTACTTTCCCTCCTTCAATCGAAAATCCAGCTCCACAGCAGCCTACCACCTGTCTGCATGGGACCTGGAGCAGTCAATCAGGAGCATGCAATGGCACATCTGATTTACATGAAAGATAGGTGACAATCTCAAAACACCCACACCACACACACTCCAGACACAACCAGGACATATAAAACACAAAATACAATAATGGAATATTACGACAGCAGTCATCACAGGTGTGATTCTGGGCATAGAAGAAGCTGACACATTCACTGTTCTCGCAGCATTTATTCACAGTAAGAAGACAATCAAACACATAAATTGCGTTCTGAACCTTTTCTGTACCTCTGCTTCCTCAGTGATGCAACACAGCACTCTGAGGGAGCAACGAGAGGAGCTGTGGAAGCCCCAAAAGGTACAGAAGCCACAACTGAATAAACAGGGTAATACTCAAAGGAACTATTAATGTGACCGAACAGTTAATAAAAAACTCATTTAGATCAAAATCATAAATAATAAACAGAATTAATTTAAAAATTTAATTCTTAAAATGAACTTATTTATAAAATGCATTGTTACCTCCGTTACATCAGGACCTCCCCCTTTAAGATTCATATGAGTGTTTTATAGGGTCATAGTTCCATCTGTTGTAACTCTGCTTCAGATGTTGTTTATATCATCTTTATCTTATTTCCTTTGTCTCCTTTGTTGCTCCTACACACACACATCCACACGTATAAATAAAACTTTCAAACAGGACCTTTGGCTTACATTAGTATTTTTAGTGACAATGAAGTTAACTTGACATTAAGTAGGTCAACTTGCATCATCCATTTAAAAAAGTTTGAAATACAGTTAATTTGATCTGACCTGAAATGGTGATGAGTCAAAGCCTCACTGTAATATTGAATGACCAGAAGGGGATATGAAAAGCAAAGATGGGGGATCTCATATGGCAATTCTTACCTAGATGCTAACTTAAACATAACCACATTTGCAAAATGCAAATAAACTTTGTAACAATTGGCATTCATCAGATTTCAGAGCAATTTATCAGTGACCTTCAAAGTGCTTAACAATGGATACATCATTCATTCACTCACACAGTCACACCTTGGTGGTGGTAAACTACCTTGGTAGTCACAGCTGCCCTGGGGAATACTGACGGAAACATGGCTGCCAATTGGTGCCTACGGCCTCTCCGACCATCACACACAACACTCACAATCATACACCAATGGAGGACTCACACTGGGAGCAAGGTGGGTTAAGTGTCTTGCCAAAGGACACAACAGACTGGAGGGCTGGCGGTTCAGTACCCGCCCTATCCCTAGTCTGTTATTGGATGACCGCTCTACCTCCTAAGCTACTGCCGC